CACTTTATAATAAATAATTAATTTTTCAAATCGGTTGAAATCATAAGTGACGACTTTCTGAGCTAACAAAAATAATACAACTGAATTGTGAACCTTTCTTTGAAGTCGGTTACAAACTAATTATATCTAATTAATTAATTACATAGGCCTCCTCAAAACTTGAGGAGGCCTATGTCGCTAGACAACCTGACCTGGTAACTGATATTAAAAGTTAAGTTTTATCACATCATCATCAGATCACATCAACAGCCTTTAATAGTCCACTGCTGGACATAGGCCTCTCCTTAGAAAGAAGATATTATAATATAGTTATGTAAAGTTAGTATAGTTTTGTTTTTCATTTTATTGTAATACAAATTGTGCAAGGTCAGAGTAAATTAAGGCTTTTTTTATTTTATTTTATTTTATTTTATTAATTACAAAAACCATTTTAAAAATGAAAACTATTACAAAGCACAAGACTGGACTCAAACTTTCTTAAATTTTTTAGAATTGGTTTGTGTTTAAAATCTTCTAAGATGCACGAGAAATCAGTTTTTGTTTATACTAACTGTACCCCAGGGTTACATGGTTTTAGGCTTAGCTCCTTGAACCAAAATAACAATCATACGAAAACACTTCAGTATCATATTATCAGTAAAGATAATTAAAATAGAAAATAATAAGATTACTACAACAAAACAAAAGCAATGTAAAACAATGTTATTGTTAAATCGGATATCTTACCTTGCCCGGTATATTCAAATTATATATATTCACGTTAAATCGATTAGAGTAAAAAAAAATACTATTCTATATATAATAATACTAATACTACACAAAATATTTTCAGTATAACTATTGTTCTAATATAAATACAAAGGCGTTATAGAACCCTGGTTACATGTCCCAAACATCAAATCAAAACATATACAGATCGAAAATATGAAAATAATTAACACAACATAAATACTCGAATAGAACATACCTTATTATAAAAATACTCCTTATTTCCTTATTAATTTAGCACCAGCATCACAACATTATTTTTCCCAACACTACTTCAACAACTACAACAACAAAAAAACATGTAACACGTATGTAATCACCAACTGTTACTCCCAAACTGTTCCGAACTTGTCACTGATACTGTATACTAGTTACGTTTGATCTTGCTTTGATCAGCTCAAGGTCTACGTATTGACTCTGTGATAGTTTGTTATAAAATGTTGCTGCTTTTGTTTGAATCTTGTTCATATATCTCTTACGTCATTATGACGTGGTTTTTAACCGTCCGTGGTTTATCTCTCTTCGTTCTGACACTGTCAGTTTGTTTTGTAAACCGTTAATCGTGAAGGTATAACACTGTTTGAAGTTTGAAATTCGTTTTTAATGTACAATCAATACGAATTCTTAGACAAGACTTACATACCTTACCTTACAAGACTTACTGAGTTTTTTGAGACTTTTTCTTCTCAGTCAGGTGCCTGTTGTCACAAAAAAGTGGAAGGAAATATAGTCGGATGAGTTTAATTTTAATAAATATTTTTTACTTTTAAAACTAAACTGTGTGTTTGAATGATAACAGAAACAGCTTATTTACTCCAGTCAACCAAACAGTGTGTTGTGAAACCAGTTTATCTAATCCCAAGGACTTCTCTGTATAATACACATTGGAGTAGTCACATTTGTCTTTTTTTTTTAATAATTTGAGAAGTATTTTTGTTTACGATAAACTTTTATGTCATTTTTTTTGGGAATATGTGGGTATGTAGTTCAAATTTGCTACTGAATATTTTGGACTTGACAGTTGTTCAAAAAGAGGGCGTTGGTATTGGGAATGCATAATGTAATCGTGGCAACAATACTGTTCATGCAATGATGATATGATATGACATGGATGGTAATTTAACCATGAAGGACCATGGACCTAGGAGTTGGTCAGAACTCCTCATCTTCTTAAACGTCGTAGTGTTTGCAGTCATAATATTCAGGAGTGTACCTAAAGAAAAAGAGATTTTTCAAAATTGTTTCGGTTTAGAAATTATGGAGCTGAGAGGTTACAAACATAAAAAAACAACCGAATCAAGAACCTTGACAAGAAAAAATCTTATTTAAAATGGTACATAAGTGAATGACCACTGTGAAGTACCTTTTTTTTGTTGACGGGGTGGAAAACCCCTTCGGATCTCCGGCTCCGTGGGGATGTAGGAGCCAGGAGAATGTGGTGTTTCCACTAAAACCCACCCCGACGGCCGGACTCAGGACTATGTTATTTACTGTGAAGTACTTACCGAGCAATCTTAAAGTTATGTGTCTATACTGTAACTACCTTCAATCAAAATTTTACTTATAAATATCCCTAACATAGGCAAGTCATAGACTTGCCTATGTTAGGGATATTGCCAGCAGTAGACGTCATTCGGTTCAGATGATGATGATGATTATTAACCAAATCTTTATATTGAAATTCAACAAAAACAAATGACATTAGACGAACTATTTAGAAATTAGGCAAGTATTACATTTAGGTACTAAGTTACCTAACTTAGGAGTACGCTGTGTCATCGACTCATTGTGGATTCTAACCTCATGACACTAATGACAACAGCCCGTGTGAATCACCGCTAGTCACTGTTAGTTTCTTTGTATTTGTTAACTATAATATTAACAAAGTTCCCGCGATGGAAAGATAATTCTTTAACGCAATTTTTTAATTTTAGACTACGTGCAAATCGTACCATTTCGCAACCTTCATGTCTAGGTCTGGCATTGACTAATAAATAGACATTTAAAACATATACATAAGTTGATTTAATACTGTTATTTAATAAGAAACCGCTAATATATTGAAAAGTAAACTGAACCACCTTCTGCAGAACGAGTCACGATATTTAAAAACATGCTGCCAAATTTAATGCAGTCATGGTTACTTTGCACAATAAACATACCGTCATTAAATATTAACATACTTTCATGTTGAATTGTCAGACAGAAAATAAGATTTGGTTAAACTCAAACTCTCTTTATTTCATAAATCTTTTAAAATTGTTTGAAATCGTCTTTTATGTAGACTCTAAAGTCATAGATCAACACACACAATAGCAACAATCTCTGTTTTGTCAAATAGTAAGCAAATAAATTTAATAAAAATCAAACTTATACAAAATCTATGATACGAGTATGCCTGTGCCGATCTATAACCGCCCGTTTCCAAGGGGTTGAGCCTCATGAGAATAAAGGGCAAACGAACTTATGACCACTCTTTTGCAATTCACAGATAGATACAATGGCATCATTATATAGGTATACCACAACATTGCTTAGGTTACCTAATTATCAATGAATTCTTTTCATAAAAAATTGACTCGGCCGGGTTCTTCCAAGTGTTTATCCGTCAGCCAACGATGTAGTTATTAGTTTTACTTATGAAAACTTAATGTTATATTTAGCACCTTGAGTAGTGCTAAGCGTACAAAATAACATACTGACAAGGAATCTGCCACCAAAAATTTGGTGTTTTCATCTATGTAATACGTCATTATAATGATGAGTTTACGTCATTATAATGATGCAGTTATTTAAGTATATTATTAAGTGACAAGTGCTGACCTACATTGCTAATTCTATATGTCGTTTATAGTGTATACATACTACTTGGTACTCGATAATAGGATCGAGTTAAGCGCGTTGTTCATAAATACTGATTATATTGTTTGAACATTGATATCATGTGTTTATAACGAGCAGGCAACGTAGGGCAATTCTCACTTGCAATAATAAAGAGTTAAAGTTAATAGTAGTAAGTGTTTCGTTTCGTTCTGGAAGTCAGCCTTTTCTTTCTTCTTCTGATCTAAAGGCCAGAGAATCTGTTTGATTAATTATATAGCAGTTTTCCACTGTAAGCGGCATTTATTGAATTATTTTGGGTAAAATGTTCTGATTACTCATTGTGATATATTTTTAACCACAAAAATTTAAAAAAAAAAAAAACCTGCAGAAAATTGCAATGATTTTCGTCTCAGAATCATGGTTTAATTGCACTATTTCAGTATTCGTTATGAAGTTCCTTACACCCTGTATTTACTTGACATTTACTATTATAATATTTATTAAACATATTCATATAATATATATCACTTCTCGATGTGTCCGGTCAAGTCATCAAATCTATATATATATATATATATATATAAAAAGCCGTGGTGTCGTGGGACACCCGATAGGAACGAAGTTGTGACGATCGAGTAAAACTGATTCGACACGATTTTAATTACAACGCCATCTATGAAAGCGGCTATTACATACATATTTTTCAGTTGGTTTCTAATTAAAACAATTTATACATTGGTAAAATCTGCTTGAGAAATGATGTCGAATACAATATTTTTTGCTCAACCTAAGAACATAAATTTTAATTTTACTGAGATGAAAAGTAATGATTTCCTATCTATTCGATAGATGGCGCTGAATGACTGACAAGTGACAATTCAAAATAAAAAGTGTCGTTACAGCTTTTCGTGAGATTTTTTTCCGTCCAGCCCCCTTTTACAACGCGCGATAAGGAACTTCGTTCCAAAAAGTAACTGACAGACTAATTCACTGACTGATCGATCAACGCACAGCTGCAACCGCTAGGTCTAGAAGCATGAAATTTTGCACAAATGTTTCTTAGGTGATGTAGGTGTGCACTAAGAAAGGTTTTTTAAAAACTCCATCCCTAAGGGTGCGAAATAGGGGTTGGCAATTTTATTTTTACGGTATTAGCGTGTCCTCTACGAGGTCTGTAAGTTACCACCACGTGGGCGAAGTCGTTATCAAAAGTTAGTCAACTATGATTTCATAAAATGTCTAGCCTGATCATCAAATAATCCTTACTTGTCGATATGAACAGTTGTGAACGCACCACGGCGTTATCACCATATGATGACATATGACATTTAAATAAACATAATGTTATTAAATAGTTCACTTATCCGCAGTCCGAGGACTGTGATATCATTTTGTTTTTGTTACACATCATGTCGGTGTTCAATTATTTTAAAGCAAATAATAATGTACAAATAAAAGGAAAAAGTGCAGTTAAATGTGATTACAAGTTAAAAGAGCCACATGTAAGTTACTTTTTATTCTGTATTTTAATTAAAACTTTTCTATCATGCAGACTACAATAGTTTCAATGCCTAACGTGAATTGACTTATCATCCCACGTTAACATTTAAACAAACCGACTGCGTGATAATGTATACTTAAGTTAAGACGAACTTACTTACAATTAACACAAATTAGAGCGTTCCAAATAAATAGACATACACATATACATATAATAGAAGAACATAACCCTCGTTCTAGCGCAGAAGTGTAATAATATTAGGGGTTAAAGTATGAAATTGCCGACTTGAACTGAAAAATTTAAATTTGTTTTTTTTTTAAATGTAACATATTTATTTAATCAACCTTCATTATCTATAGATTACTGCCATCTGGTCATCTCCAAACGCAGCGTTGATATTGTGAGCCGTTTCCGTTTCAGAACTCAAACGTATTCAAAAATTACTCATACTAGAAGTTTCGAAATATCCATCTTTTACGTCTAAGCTGAATAAAAAAAACAAATGAAAGAATCTCATAGGTATCATCAAAATCTCACACCATGAAGGGTTGATGTCAATTAAAAGTATTTATTACTATACAACGGCAATTTCATACTTAAACCCCTTTTTTTTCCATTCGGAAATCCCCTCGGATACCACCTGTTTTTTTTTTCTGTGCGGAAATCCCCTCGGATACCCCCTATCGGTGGCATGTCGGACTCGAACCGACTTAAACCGCACGCCGTCTCGGGTACTAATAGCCGGGGAACCAGGTATACCCTAGAGAGGAAGTCCCTGGTGCCCCGACATTAACGATTATTTACAGTTGCAAATTACGACTATTTCATGAAATGTTACATTGTAAATTAATCACTTTTAAGGGTATATTGTAATCATTATGTGGTGAATGCGTATGTTCATTTGTTCTGTGTCTGCACATACGCTTGCCAGATTAGGTGCCTGCAGCTCTAAAAAAGCCTACGTTACTCGCTGATATCGTAGCTTTCCATTGGTGAAAGAATCTTTAAAATCGGTGTAGTGGTTTAGGCGTCAAAGCGTAACAAACAAACAAACTCACTTTGACATTTATATATAAGTTATAATATAAGTTTAAAGGAGAACGGCAGATCCTGAACATATGATGGATGGTTATGAGATTGATACCGTTTATAATGTGAGTCATCCTAACAATTTTTATGTAATTATTATTTTTTTAGAACTGTGTTAAAAGTTCATAAATTCTTCTCGAAGAATTGTTACAATTGCAATAACTAAACATTCAAGTGTTGTTAACAAAACGCATTCCTACACTTTCTAAACTTGAAATGAATAAAATATAAATTGCTTAAAAAACGATATGTTTACTGAATGATAGATTAATGAATGAGCTCATTAGTGTATTTAGGTGTTAAAAACAAACATTTCTTTATTGATTGTGCAGATTATACGAAGTAATAACTAAATGATTATTTTAAATATTGAATTGATATGTTATTAGTACCTTTCTTAAATTAATTGTAATATAAGGAAACATACTAAGTTTTATTCAAATCGATGAAAATTATGAAAAAAATTAAATTAAACTATGTCATAGTAACATTTTATTGACAGATCAAAAAAATCGTAAACGAATGATTTTCAAAGATTATATATGTTAACTTGTTGATAACAATGACAAATCATTTGTGACAGCCAGCTGTCATTGGTATCGACTTCAGTACAGCCAATATACAAACTAAATACTATCATTTATCGGTTAAACTCAAACTCAAACTTTCTTTATTTCATAAAATTTCCAAAATTGTTTGAAATTGTTTTGACTGCACGGATGGCGTAGTGGTTTAAGCGGTCGCCACGTTGCTTCCTACTACGCCGAGTGTTGTGGGTTCAAACCCCACATGAGACGACACTTTTTGTGATCCACAAATTGTTGTTCTGAGTCTGGGTGTTCTTTGTGTCCGTTTCATGTATGTTTGTAAAATCCCCCGCGACACAGGATTTATTCCTAATGCGGGAGTTGTCTTCTAAAAAAAAAAAATATCGTCTTCCATGTAGACTCTAAAGTCATAGATCAACACACACAAAAGCAACAATCTCTGTTTTGTCAAATAGTAACCAAATAAATTTAACAAAAATCAACCCATACAAAATCTATGATATGCCTGTGCCGATCTACAACCGCCCGTTTCCAAGGGGTTGAGCCTTAAGAGAAGAAAGGGCAAACAAACTCATGGCCACTCTTTTGCAATTCACAGGTAGATACAATGGCACTATTAAATATACCACAACATTGTTTTGATGTGTGCTAGTATACCCGTTATTAAGGACTAAAAGGTGAAAAGACAATGAAAAGAAAACAAGATTAAGAAGAAAAAAAACGAATACAAGAGAAAATGAAGTGAAACATAAAAAATAGAAAAAATAATAATAATAAAAACCATACTAGCCACACCACATTTTTACTTAAGAAAGAAATAGCCTGCGCTAATTAATCCCAAGCATTCTTGTCCTCCATGTAATCCACAATCGAGTAGTAGGCCCTCTGGCACAAGCCACGTTTTATTGCGGATTTAAATTTGTTAATACTCAACTCTTGAATATTACTTGGGATTTTATTATAAAATCGGACACATTGACCTCGAAAAGACTTGTTCATCTTTTGGAGCCTAGAGACGGGTACAACAAGTTTATTTTTATTTCTGGTATTTATGGCATGTACCTACATCACTTTTTTTCAAAAAGCTATCTTTATTTTTATGAACATATATTACATTTTCATAAATATATTGACTTGGTTTATGTAATTATATTTTTAACCAACTATTTCAAATCTATTTCTTCAAACCGAGGATCATCTAAGTGGTGTGCAATTAGAGCGGCCTATGTCCAACTGCGATAGCATGATGATGATGATGATTTCGAATCAAGTGCAACTTTATTTTTATAATATAGGAGGTCAAATGTGCAGACGGGTCACCTGATGGTAAGCGACTACCGCCGCCCAAGAATCCAGAACAAGAGGGGAGGTTCGGAACTCCAAAAAACCCCCCTCACTGAAAAACAATAAAAGAACTGACTGTATGGATGTCGTAGTGGTTTAAGCGGTCGCCACGCCGCAGTAGGTATGCAAAAAGTTTATCATGGATGATAGAATGAACGAAACGATACGTAGCACATTAAATACTGTCAAACACACATTTTTTTTTTTTATTAGATTTTATTTTTATAAAAAAAAATGAATGTAAAATTCAAGCTAGAGATACATCTATACTTATATTTATTTATACGTAGCAAAACGAGTTTGTTTATTACGCTTTCACGCCTAAACCACTAAACCGATTTTAAAAATTATTTCCCCAATGAAAAGCGACAGGCAACATATTGATGAATCATTTAATTTATTGTATTTTGTGCTTAGATACTTTTTTAGGTAAGTACCTAATAATGTCTGAAACATATTACAAAATTGAAAATGAACAGACGCAAGTTCAAATTGAAAAGTGAGTACCTTTAAATTTACCCTCAAGTCCTTTATGATTTTGAAACCGGTTGTTGTTTGTGTCTTTGCTTCGCACGGTGATGTTCAATGAAATTTCTTTTACGAATAATATAATGTGTAGAAACATAATTCTCATACAGTTAACACTGCAATGTTAAACTCATTAACGAATCCTAAGAGGCAATAAAATAAAATAACATCGGTAGTCTCTTAAAGACATGTACCTGCCTACAATAAAATGTGGCCACGACGTCCCGTCAAGGTCAAACCTCATCAGATTTGTTACACCTTTGCTATTACAAACAATAGAGCCGTTAAGTACCTAACACGCTCACATGGGTTTTTAATCTTAATTTATTTACCACTAGCTTTTGCCCGCGGCTCCGCCCGCGTAAATGTTGGTTATAACGGTAAAAGTAGCATATGTCTTTTTTCTGGAATCAAAGTATCTCAATACAAAATTTTATCTAAATCGGTTTAGTGGTTCTTAATTCCTCATCCAAACTTCCACCCCCATTTTCAACAGGATCAGCGAATACCGGAATGACAAAAATAGCGAGACATTGAATAAATTAGGTGCATGAATAATTTGAAGTATCTCTTCCTCTCTCATCTATTGCTTTGCCCGATGGGGTTTATTATAATCTGATATTACATTTATAAGTTACCACCTAAGCAAACATTGTGGAATGCAATAAACATATTGAGTACTAGCTGTTGCCCGAAGGTCCACCTACGGGTATATCGGTTATCATGGTAAAAAGTACCCTATGTCCTTCTTTACGAATCAAACTATCTCCATTTAAAATTCCATCTAAATGGGTTCAACGGATTAAGTGTGAAGAGGTAACAGACAGATACACTTTTGCATTTATAATATTGCATGGATTGAGTAGTTACGTGGCGCATACGGAAAGTCTCTGGATCTGGCCACTTACAATAAAATAACGAAAAAACCATTATGGAATTCGAAAATGGAACTCTTCGGGAATATGTTACTTTTTAATTTGCGAAACTGTCATTTGCTTTTTCATTGTGACGTCCTTTCAAAAATTGTGTGTCGCTATCAAAATGAATTTAACTTGTGAACACTTACGTTCAATGATTTTTTATGATTTTCGTTGTGGCTTAAGTCAACAAGAGAGTTGCCAGAGACTTCAGTTGGCATTTGGTGATGAAGCAGCATGTCATAGCTCTGTTTATTCATGGTTTGGAAAATTTACACCTGGACGTGATCGGAAAATTTAGACGTGACTCACGACGAGGTACTTGAAGGTCGGCCGGCGACTGCGGTTACAGACTCTAATTTTGACACCGTACGACAACTTATTGAAATTGTCAAGAAAATTACTTGCCAGCAAATTCGTGCTTTGTTAGGCATTGGAATGAGCCAAGTGCAAAATATTTTACATATGCATCTGAAGGTTCGGCAGCTTTGAACTCCATGGATACCGCAATACCTGTGTGTGTATTTTTCCTTTTAGATTACAGTGGTTTCAGCGAATACGAAAATGCATTAATT